GTGGTGGGTGAAGGTATAAATTCGCCTCTGTGTGTATTTGCCACGTGCAGCTGCAAACAGTGGTTTGCCTGTATGCCTGTAGAAAGAAATTCCAATGGATGAAGGGTGGCTCAGTAAGAAAACTTTATTGTATATTTTGAGACGGCAATGTTTTTCATATTGAAATTTTTTGTTTGTTTGAGACAGTCTTTCTCTGTCACCCAGGCTAGAGTGTAGTGATGCAATTATAGCTCACTGCAGACTCTACCTCCCAGGCTCAAGCAATCCTCCCATCTTGGCCTCTTAAACTGCTGGGATTACAGGCAAGAGCCACCACACCTGGCCCTTAATTTAAGAAAAAAAAAAAAAGAAAGAGAAAAACAAAAGGCCTGGCACAATTCCTCATTCCTGAAATCCCAGCACTTTGGGAGGCTGAGGTGGGCGGATCACCTGAGGTCGGGAGTTCAAGACCAGCCTGGCCAGCATGGTGAAACCCCATCTCTACTAAAAATACATAAATTAGCCAGGCGTGGTGGCAGGCGCCTGTAATCCCAGCTACTCAGGAAGCTGAGGCAGGAGAATCGCTTGAACCCAGGAGGGAGAGGCTGCACTGAGACGAGATCACGCCACTACACTCCAGCCTGGGTGATAGAGAAATACTCCATCTCAAATAAACAAACAAAAAATAAAAATAAACTGCCTCAAAAAGTGCAAAGGGGGGCATCACCAGGCTGGTGTTCTGAGCGGTATGGATTCTCATGGAAAGGTTTAGATCGTGCCCTGCCTGCCGGGTTTTTACAGCTTCAGGATTTACTCCGGAAGCAGAGGAGACCTCAGAGGACTGCACAGGCCCGTGCCAAGCCCCCTTCCTTCCCACCATCTGTATCCCAGGCACTCCTAGTCTGTCTCTAGAACTGACCTCTCTCCAGAACTGCAGTCTCCCCTCTCCATCTGCTCCCAGGCACCACAGGCTGCAGTGACCGACTCCGCCCTCGTGACCCTCCAAGCCTCGCCCACCTTGGCCTCCCTCTACTCCCTTGGCCCACTCATCAATCAAAAACCAGCCCTGCGTTTTCTTTTTTTCTTTTTTGAGACGGAGTTTCACTCATGTTACCCAGGCTGGAGTGCAATGGCGCGATCTCGGCTCACCGCAACCTCC